AATGGGGCAATGTTTCATTTGCAAAACTGCAAAAATTAGAATCCTCAGTTCCCAAAGGATTAGAACATGTAATTAAAAGGAAAGGTGATGGAACACAGTGGGAAACAGGCCTCTGGCCCAACTTTTGTTTAAATGTCCTGCAGGCATCCAATTCTAAATGTGTTTACATTTACAAAATGCAATTAAGTTGGACAGCAAAAACACTGAAAACCTTTTCTCTGTACATTTGTCAGTTAAATAAAGGTTCACACAAAATAACACATCACAGATTTTAGTTACTGCATTTTGTAAAATGTCGCAACTTTTCTGGAAATGGGGTTTGCAGAAACCTTTATCAGCAGGCATCAGAGGAATAGCTGTCCAGTGTAATCAGTGTGACATTCTGACCCTCCTACACATGATCAACTTCAGAAACTAGGAAAAACCTAACCTTGAATGTTTTTAATATTATTAATTACTTAACTTATTTTCAGATATTTTAGTTAATTCCAAATTTCATTTTTATTGTGCTGTAAAAAAAATCGTTCATTGTTGCTTGTGACTTGTTCATTAACTGAACAGCAGATATGATAAACTCTGAATTCCATCAGCACAGCTGTTGGAAAAACGATATTAGGCTACAATTAAAAAAACAGCTTTCTCCATTTGATATTTTTTACAACAAAACTGGAATAAATTACAATGTATGCCAGAGGTGATGAACCCACAAAGACTTATCATCCTTTTTAGCACTGTTTGGGTTTTAAGGCCCAAAACGTTACTGCTCTTCTTCAATCTCACAACTCTTATCTGCATTATTTCTGGCAGCAGCAGGCAGCCCCCATACCCTACCTCTCAGTGTCAGCTGGGATGGAACCCTCAATGATAAGCTGGGTGAATGGATCCTGTGGATTATTAAACCCATAAGACAACACTGTCACTTCAATTATCCTGACTCCATTTCTTTCTCTACTGTAACAAAATAGATTTTGCATCATTAAATTTTCATTGTTAGATTTAACTGGATACTTTAGGTCTGCTATTTGATTATCTCTGCTTTCTCTGAATGCAGCTTATTTACTTTCAATGTGTATTTTAGTAGAAATGACAATTATGAATGATTGAAAATGTCTAGAGTAAAAACTGCACTGCCCCTGATTTCCCAGGGTGTGATACGACAGACTGAGAGCCAACTTCACAGTCTAATTGCTGTGAGCTACAGAGAAAATATTTGCATTTGCAAAGCCAAGTATCTGTAGATAAGGTGTGGATAGAAGCTAACAATGTCCAGGCCTTCAGAACAACAGTGAAGGAGGAAGGACGAGAACCAATGGCAAGAGAGGAGTGGAGGTCAAGTGGGATAAAAAAACAGATGTGTGCAGACATAAACTAGAAAACCATCTGGTGGAGATAAAGGTTTAGAGTACAGTGTCCGCCAACACCCACATATTCCGCTCCCTGTTTTAACTTCAGGGTCATTTGCACACCCAGCAATGTAAAAGACAAGAGCGCTGTTGTTTTTGGTTCTGTGTGGCCATTAAGTGCTGCAAGTTTTACTATCCCACTGCACAAACACAACACAGTAGTGGAGCTTAATTCAGGTTGTCAGTCAGTAAGAATAACTGTTTTACACCACAGCAGTCACTCAAGGTAACTATGCTACAACATTTGCACTGAAATCAATATATTAATGTATAATTTAATATACCTAAATGTGTGTATTGTTGTCACAGTTGCAGAAGAGAAACCAGAAGTTCTGGTTTCACTCTCTAAAAGGGCTACTGTTTATTAAGAGCTGAGTCCATTTTCATTCATTTATCAAATATGAAAATGCCAGCTGGGGCAAAATGGGTGAAATAAATGTACTACAAGCCTGTCTTACAATGCTAGACTGCTCTGATCCGGTTTCTGAGCCTCAACTTGAGCTTCCCAGAACTATCAAAGTGACTGTTAGGTCACAGCACAGTGACAGCTCTGTAGACATCACTGAATGAATAATGTTCCAGCTGCTCCCAACACCAAAGGCCAAAGCCAGTGACTGTGAGACAACTCCTCTTTCATGTGATGGATGTACTTAACAATGTAGTCTTTCTTTCATACAGTAAAACACTATGGAAGAGCAGACCACAGTCAAACTGTTGGTGCAAGAACCAGGCAGGGAAATAACAGCCCCCTACTGCCACTTCCCATCAGCTCCACTGAGAGCACCTTTTTACTAATCCGATCTCGTGGAGCTTAAAAAAAAACTTTGGCACATCTATGTGCTTCCAATTTAACTCTGGTGTGCCTTGTTCCTGTGGTTTCTCTACTTGCTTCCCACATAGAAAGATTTAGCGCAGTGTGAGGTCAAGGACATCTGTAGGTGCTTGTTGACAAGGCCATACCTCCAAATGCAAACTGACATTTACATTTACCTACCTTTAAATAGAACAGGTTAAAGTCAGTCTTCTGCTTGCAACATTTAAGTGACCTGCATAAATCATATGCATATATTAAGACTGACTCAAATAACTGCAGTATTTGTAATGTGAATGAGGTCACTCCCGGTGGTGAACCAAAGAGAATTATTACCCCTGTGCATCTCCCCTTAGCTCTAGGAATTAGTAGAAAACAAAACTAAAAGGACAGCGAGTGTAATACTCATGCGATATTCTGGTTTTACTGGCCATTTTGATTTTATTAGTTCATTGGTCTTACTGGTTTTTTATGTATGAAATTTGTCTTTTAGAATGTATTTTAAATTATGAATGGCTGAGAGAATACTGCTAAACGTGTCAGTAGACGACTGAAGGAATGGATAAACAAATGAATGTTACCTTGGGAAATTATGCATTTTTACTTTTATCTGACACTTTACAGAGTAAACTATTCATCAGAAAAATCGACCAATTAATCGACAATATAAAAGAAGATAGCTGCAGTCCTAATTGTTTTCTCTATCCTTTGGCCTGAACCAAGATTTCCAGTGCTTGTTGTTGCTGCATGGCCTTAGCATGTAGCTGTCTTTTCACAAAGGTGATGTGCAGCTGCCTATTCAATATCTGGATAATTCTGTATAATGTCTCTTGGTGTGAGCAGCTGTGGGTCTCACCAGTTTGTAGTCTTTGTGCAACTTGTAGTACCGGAACATGTTGCAGAGGACAGTCGAGGCCGCTGTGGCAGCTTTTAGACTCCCAGAGCTAAACCGAGACACAGTGACAGACAGTGAAAAACTAGGAGCACTAATAGAGAGGAAATACCAGAGCATAAGTGGAGGGAAGAAATAAACATTTTAAGATAACAGGCAAATTAGCTAAAGGGTTTTTTTGTGTGGTCACTGATCTTAGGGGAGAGCAATAACAGGCTCAGGAATATGGCAGCAAAGACCACTGAGAGGTCCCAGCTTTGGTACACTGTAACTGAAGGACTGGAGAAAGGAGCATCAAGAAAAGGGTTTCTTACCATAAAACAGTTTTCATCGATTAATATATTTGTGAGTTACTCAGTTTTACTCTTCTTGCTTACTGAAACAGCAGCTCTGTTTTCTCAGGGCACCACACTGATATCTGAGGATTAATGGACAGTCTTACCTGTTATCATGGGATGTCTTGATTCCCACCAGCTTTGGCAGGCCGTTGAAGTATGAGATGTCACGTGCTGCCAAGGAACTGCTGGTGACCAGGTTATTCAGGGCTCCACAGATGTTGACCACCACTTCGCTGGACGGCGTTTTCTGAAGACCATCACTGGGCAGCTTGGACACCAGAACATTCACCATGTTCTTAGCTGCACAGACACAGAGCGAGGTTGGCCATCTGACAGTACTGCTTAAGGATCATGCTCTGACTTTTCAGTACTTTCAGCCTTTGAAGGGTCCCCCACTGCCAGTTTGGTGTCAGATAATCTAAGACTCGCTCATGCTGTCTGTTAGGGGGCACGCCACCAATTCAACACATCAAGTTCAGTTATATCATCATGAGGAGACCTAGCTTGTGAACAGCTGTAAAACATATTTGGCTATGAGTTTGAAGACATGGCAACACCTAGAAAAATATCTACAGCTCTCTGCATTGCCTCATAATTTGTAATCAGAGATGGTTTCAATACCTTTTCAATATGATATTTGAGTTTCATACTACAGTTTTTGTCATGTATTACCCTAGATTTTCATTAGCTAGACAAATCAGTGGACATCAGCTATGAGATGCACTCATATACAGCAAATGCAGGGCTTGAG